GGACGCTGCTGACAGAGATAGTGTCCCAATAGCGAAAAGTGAATTGCATGATCTGCTGACGAAACAGTCTTTAGCTGGGATTCCTTTGCTTGTCCTTGGCAACAAAATTGACAAGTCAGAAGCGCTTTCAAAGCAGGCATTGGTTGATCAACTGTGAGCTCAATCTTCTTCATTTGCCTACTCATCATTCTACTTTCTGCGTGATATTTCAGCTGAAGCTCTCTTCCTTTTTTTGTTTTCAGTGGACTGGAATTGATAAAGGACCGTGAAGTTTGTTGCTACATGATCTCCTGTAAGGATTCTGTGAACATAGACGTCGTCATCGACTGGCTTATCAAGCACTCTAGAACAGCAAAGTAGTCTTTGTGTGTGTTTGTATATCACTTGATGTACGGTGATTTGAGTTTATCTTTGTGAATCAGCGCTTCCCAGAATCCTGGTTTCTTGGTCCACATGTTAAAAGCGGCCACCTTGTAATTTATGATCCCGTTGGTGTCACAGACGAATTGTATGGTATCTCGAAGACTAGAACCTTGTATTCCCTTTGTAAATCCCCTGAATCTTTGATTATTCTTACTGTGAATGTCGTTCAGTTTTATTCTGCACATACCAACCAGACCAAATCTAACCGATTCATATATCCAAATTTGTTCATCTGTGGCTATTAATAGTGAAATATATTTTTTTATAATAATAAATACATTAGAAAAAAATAAGTATTGATAATTTTTCTATAAATCTTATCAAATTAAAAAATGATTCTTCAAAACATGAGATGTTCAATTATTTTGGGATATCACATTTCTTTTTGTCGTTCGGTTTCTAATTTCTAAGCAAATCTCGGCAGCACCAAACCCCTCCGAACTGAGTCTACCCGGCAGCTATTCTGTTCAGGCCGATGCGCAAATACTCCGCCGATGCGCAAATACTCCGCCGATGCGCAAATACTCCAGGAGGATCCAACCCGTTTTGGATACGGATACGGCTCGGATACGCCCCTGATACGTATCCAGGCCTTACTTCGAAATCTGGATACATATCCGACCCGTTTTGGATACGGATACGGCTCGGATACGCCCCTGATACGTATCCAGGCCTTACTTCGAAATCTGGATACGTACTGGCCTGGATACGAATATCAAATACGTATGGGCCGATTTGCATACGGCCCATGAAATGAAAATGGCCCAACCTGCCTCCCACTCTCCCACGAGTGACCCGTGACCTACTCCCCTTCCCCCGCACGCCACACGCTCGCAGTAGAACGGCGCCGCATCCCGACTCCCGCACTTCCACTTCGACCGGCGACTTGGCGGCGACGGCGAGTGTCGTCGGCGACCGGCGGCGAGGCAGCAAGCAGCCGGCGGCGAGCCGGAGACGCCCTCTCCGAGATCCCAGCCCCCTACAGGCTACAGCTGCAGGCTGCAGCCTTGCGCCACCGTCGAGTTCAGGTTAGCACTCATGTTTGTGGTTGCCGAGTCCTGGCTTTACAGTGGCACAAGAATTCCTGTTGGTGGCCTAAGAGAGAGAGGGAGGGAGGGAGGGAGAGTGTAATTGGATGAAGACATCTATATCAGTTGTAGCCACGATTAAATCAATGATCAAAGCATTTTTACTTTTTTATAGTACTAATGCAATATCAACATGAGTGAGTGAGTGAGGGGTTGGGTTCTTTCATATGCAAACTAATACTTGATGGTAGTAAAGGGATGGCTGGTAGGGCAGGAAGCAAGAGCTCATTCTGGTGCCTCACAGGTAGGCACCTGCATTTTTAGGAGACGTGGGCACGTGTGATATAAACATGACTTCGGATAATCCAATTCGCACCCTTGCACATGACTAAACCAAACTGAGCTCAGGAATAATCCAAGCAATTCTAACATGAGATTCCATCAGTTGACTACATTAATAAACAAAATACACCCAGGAAAATACTAAATGCATGTGGGTACATCTAGGTCTAGCACAATCAGAAGTGCACTTTTGATGTCATTGTTACAGGATATTTCTAAGAAGGGCAGCACATTAGCATTCCATTCATCAAAGAAAAGTACACGCAGGGCCAACACTAAGTAAGATATCTTTGCTGTAGCTAATAGATGGAAAAAATCATACAAACTGATGGGAAGTGGCCAATGTTTCAAGAATGTATAAGCATGAATGATTGAATGAACCATCACAGATGTCAACTAAACTTTTCAAAAAAAAAAACATCACACTATAACTCAAGCCAGTATATCTGTAGAAGGGATCATGGGTATTCATCATATGTATAGAACCATTCCATTAAAAACGACATTAGGGGCCTGTTTGGTTCATTACCTCAGCTTGCCACACCTCGCCACAGCCCAATGCGCCTAGCTTCAGCTAGTGTTTGCTTCATTACCCGAGTTACGGCGCGCCAAACTTTGCCTAAGGACTGCTAGTTCATTTCCGTGCCTCATCTCGCCAAAAGTTGGGCGTGCTTTTTCCTCGCCATACATGCGGCGCAGCCAGACTTATGATGCGGCAAGCAGCAGCTAAGAAGCAAACAGGCCCTAGATGAAACTCAAGGATCATTCGAAGCTCTGTCAGCTGCAGTTTACTACAGTAGCAACGCACAGTTGACTGGGCTGCAAATTACATGATTTCTAGAACTCTTGCATTCAAAAGTACAAATCACTGTCAACCAAAAAATGTTCCAAGCTTTGCACATGTATTTGGCATCAAGCATTGATCACAATATGCTAACCAGACCTTTTTTTTGTTGCTGATCAAAACCTCAAACTCTGTTAATCGCGTCGGAGGACACTGATCTGCGTACACTCGCTATTTGAAGGAATCTGGCCTGCAATGCAAACAATTAGAGCAGTGAATTTTAGGAATATATATGTTATTCTAGACAGATGTATCTTCATAAGTTCAGATATCAGGGTTAGAACAGTATTTTTGCCATCAATTACAGTTTTCAAAAGATGCTCCGCTAAGGCAAACATGCAAATTACCAGAGGTCTTCAAAACACAGAAATTATCAGAAGTTTAGAGAAGTTAGTCTGCTAAAAACCATCCCATTAATTAGATTGATGGGATACTGTATTATTTGGGGGCAAAATTGATCCTTGGAGAGAAAAATGACCAGCTATTGCTGTTTTTCCAATATCTGTATTCTTATCTTGTGAGGCTCATTAAAGAAATAAACATACTCAGTTCTAACTTCTAATCTTCATGACGACGGTTCATACACAAAGAAATAAATGCAGAGGGAGCAGACTATCCAAAGAAGCATGCTTGTGAATGTTTTTTATCTACATGCTTGCGAACAGGGCTGCGAGAATAGAGAAGTGACATATGTTAAAGGGTGTACCCAGTGCAGAGAGCTCCCGCTCTGTGCGGGGTCTGGGGAAGGGTGTCAGTGGCAAGCCTTACCCTCGCCTGTGCAATGCGAGGAGACCGCGACTCGAACCCGGGACCTTCCGGTCACATGCGGTAAGACTCTACCGCTTGCACCAGGCCCGCCCAGTGACATATGTTAGCTTGTCCTAAATGTCACATAATCAAACAGAGGGTGTACTTGCCTAGAAATATAGAGTCAGCTCTTTTCACTAAAGGAAGTACCAAGGAAGAATGAACTTGAAATATGCACCAGACTATAACACCCTGTGAGAATACATTATTTCTGGAAAATAATAGATCATTAGAGTACAGTAGTGAATCAAAGACACATCAATGAAACTTACATTTCTAGGTCTACCAAAAATGGAGTTTTAAGCCTCTAGGACATTTCAGTCCTCTAGCAGCAGAAAGCAGTCAAGCACACATCAGCAACCTATTTTCCAGTACGCCTTCATTGAATTATGCCACACTACAAATTAAGAAAGCTCAACCTTCCAGTACACCTCCATTGAACTATGCCACACTACAACTTAAGAAAGCTCAACCAGCTACAGTTGCAGGTACAAATGACTAATGTTTTCAATCCAGCCTATGCTATAGTTGTAAGCTAATCATATATTTATCTCTCTCTATGTACCTGTAAATTTACTTCATTTCCTTACTACTTTTATTGTTCACCAGAGGATCTTAATGTTTTCCAGATTTCTCAGCATGGTAGAAAGATATTTAAGTTAATAATATGAGTGGACTTACTTTTTGGCAAATTTACGGAAAAGGCAGTAAAACTTTTTAGGTGTTAACTTACATGTCACTGCTGTTAAATATTGCTACTGCATTTTTAGACTTGTGCAGAAATATCACCTCCCTGCCATGTTCAAGTAAAACTGTAAAAGTAAGATGAGATAAAAGTCATCCTTAAAACTACTGTCTTTTAGACTTGTGCAGAAACAACGCCTTTGCGCCACTTGATTGACTGAGTTGGTAAACTGTGATTATATTCACTTGGCACTACTTGTTTCAGCTTATAGTTGGTCATTTAGACTTGGCGCTGGCATGCTTATAGTTGTTCAGTATATCTTCTTTTCCATGTAAACATATCCCAGTTAATTACAGAAACTAAAAAGGCAATTCACTCTGAGGTACCATTTTCGTAGGCTTCCTTTTGTCGTCCAGCTATCTTTTCACAATTACTACTGTTTTGGTGCTTCGTTTATGTCTGCCTATAAGTGTTAGAATTTTACCATGGGGACTCCTTAAAAATTCTGCTCACATTGTGACTTTGCACCTCGCTTCTATTATTTGATAGCTAAACTCAACTTAAGCAGTGGTCCTACTATCATGCAGCTTAAGGAGTATTGATTTAAATAGTTTGATTGCCTCTTGTCACTCTGCTTTACATTGTTTGTCCCTGATACGATTTAAGGTAAAAGTTTAGATGTGATACTGAGTGTGAAAAATTTATTGAGCAATCGAATAGGCCCTACCTGCAATATATATTATTATACATATGAGTTTATATTATTTGTGCCACTCTAACATCCCTGACTTTTAGGCAACATCGGCAACTAACTCTATCGGCAATCCCTCACAACCCTCGCCGCTGCCGGCTGCTCCACCCTGCCGTCGCCATGGGTAAATTCCGCAAGCTCGGCCGCGGTTACTCCCACCGTCTCTCCATGCTCAGGTCTTGCTTTTCTCCCACCTCAACGCCCCTATCCTATGGCTCTATGCCACCTTTGCCGCTGACCTCTGGATTTGTCTCCTCGGCAGGACGATGGTGTCGCAGCTGGTGAAGCACGAGCGCATCGAAACCACCGTTGCCAAGGTACTTTCTTTCACGTACCGGCGTTTCTTTGAGTAGGGGCGTGTGGTGGACGGGCGGGATTTGTTTTTCAGGAGGGGTGATCGTTGAATGCGTTTCCTTTGCCGTGGTTCGTTTCAGGCGAAGGAGGTCCGGCGGAAGGCGGATCAGATGGTGCAGCTAGGGAAGGAGGTAATTGGAACACAAGTCCCCTGATGCTAATTAAATTCCAACGTGAAATATCGGGGCACTTTGTGGTATCCATGAATCTATGCAGGGCAGTGGCGGTAAACAACCTAGCGAACAATTTTTGCGAAGTATGCTCGTAGGTTAGAAGTATTTGTAAGAAAGAAGTTAGTGTTCCTATATGCGGTCACGCCGGTCGGTGAAACAGGTGGGTTAGTCGCGCGTGAAATGAGGTTTTGACTGACTTGCCTCACGTGTGCAAAATGGCGAATCAATTCACTGTGATTCCCACATGGAGCCGACGGAAGAAAAGACATCTGATGGGGATCTGCTGGTTTCTCAGGGGAATCAGTGGCAAGAATATGTGTCAAAGGAGCCCTTAGTCATGGATTAAACTTTTTTTTGTGGACACCCAGTAGCCCTAGATATGCTATTCTTTTGTCAGAACCAGAAAAAAAAATTGTCCCAGAGGTGTATGCAATAGGCATACTTTAGAGCCCTATGCCCTTCCTTAGCTTATTTGCAACTCAAACTTATTTTTATCTGGCCTGGGTCTTGTTTTGATTTTTGGTGACTTGATGTCTCGAAGCAAACAATGCAGAAACTTATATCATATTTTGGCACGATATGTAGGGTACTGAGCATGCAGCAAGACGTGCTGCTGCCTTTGTTCGGGGTGATGATGTCGTTCATAAGCTATTCACTGAGCTGGCCTACCGCTACAGGTAATCTGTTTTACCTACGCATGGATTCACTCAGTTTACTGTATCTGCATTCGATTTGTTACTAGCCCTAATTCAGAATTGGTGCGATGTTGTCATTTTGACATCTGAATTAGGCAATAAGGCATAAGGAGAACAACTATAGTACAATATTTATATTCCAGAACCTTAGTTCTAGCATTAATATGAAGAATTTGGCAACAAAAGCTTTTACTGTTCATCTAAAAGTTGTATAATGATCTGTATGATAACACAAATGTGAAAAGCAGAATAGAATGACATGTATTTAGAAGCAGAGTGGATTGGAACTAATTGTATATTCTTATATTCCAGAGATCGAGCTGGTGGATACACAAGGATGTTAAGAACCAGGATACGTGTTGGCGATGCTGCACCAATGGCATACATCGAGTAACATTCTTTATCTGTATTTCTTCGAGACCAATTTTACCCATACAGCTTCTCACAGGGTGTTATAGTTTGGTGCACATTGCAAGTTCATTGTTCCTTGGTACTTCCTTTAGTGAAAGGAGCTGACTATACATTTCTAGCCAAGTACACCCTCTGTTTTTAAATATATGATGTTTAGGACAAGCTAATTAGTTTTTTTAGCATGTCCTAAACGCCATATATTTAAAAAATGGAGGGGGTAATTGGCTTTGCTTGACATTGTTACGTCCAAATAGTTCAATATGAATCAGACTGCAGTAACCCGTCAAATGACATATAGCAGATTCCCTGTAGACATGTATTTATCCGTTGTCGTATGCAGGTTCGTGGACAGGGAGAATGAGCTTCGAGAGGCCAAACCTGCAACACCGCCGCCGCCTCAACGAGCCCCTCTTGATCCATGGACCAAGTCACGTGCTAGCCAACAGTGGGCAGGACCTAAAATCACCAAGACCTCGGAATCAGACGGCTTATGAGCTAGTGTATCTATGTTCCATAAAAAGTTTCAGTTAGTTTTCTTAAGTAGCAGGAGTTTTTTTTTTCACTGGAGATAACTACCGATAGAATAATTTAAACTTTATTATCATATTGTATGCTTCTAATTCGCCAATTGAAGATTGCAAGGCTCCACACAGGAAGTTTGGAACGAGAGAGATGTATCTCTGTTTTGCTTATTGCAGTTGTAACAGATGGATTCAAGATCATGGATTTAGATGGTTCAGTATAAGTGTACTGGATCAAAGATTTGCTATTCCAGCTTCCTCCTTTCATATTATTTCCTTTTATTCCCAACAATGTGATTTACCTGCATGCCAGATTCTTATCTTATTAAATGTTTCACGAAGCCTACATTGATACAACATTACTAATACTTAATTACAACAGTTCTAAAACATGAGAAATATTGTGACCTGGTGTTACCTAACCTGTAACTGTTCTTAGTTCCATATATGTATGTCAGTTCCTTAACATGTTACTGTTCCATACATACATGTACAACTAAAACTGAAATAGCAACATAAAAATTCCTTTAACTGATTATTAGAGTGCCATTGTGAATTTCAGCATTGCCTCCTTATTGGTCGTTTAAAAGAATATAAAAATTATGTCAACAATTCTTCCATTGGTTCTGCAACAATATAGGAGAGCTGACATGTCTCCTACCTGATTCAATATGGCATGTAGGTATGCCCGCTATCATTGTTGATCCTAGAAAACCGTAGGCAGGAGATGAACCTCCAGTCAAATCGTTGAACAAGTGTTCTTTGGTCCAACAACAGATGAGATGCATCATGCATGGTAGGTGTTCTGGACTTCTGGAGGATACACTCATCGACGACGATGTGTCAGCGTATTCATATAGACAGGTATTTGGATCACAAGTTTATATAGAATAAAATAATGGAAGGAAATTTGAGTTCTGCATCAATGTTCCCCTGGATCAGTTCAGAGAACTGACATCACATATCAGGTTGATGGGGTAGTAGGTGCTCCTAATTTTCCCATCTTGCCAACTGCGACACTCTATGCCCGTATGTTGCTACCTTTTATATATGAATTATGGACCTGAACTTGATGTCTTTCAATCTCTACAAACTGTTTTGCCCTGCCAAGTCTATCAATCCATGCTACATAGCAATAGCATACTGCATACTCTTTCGTTTGTGGACATGATGTCGAGTCACATGCCCCTAAGTATTAGTGAATTACAGAGAAACTAACTTGCAAGTGGTCCAAGTGAAATTTTATCTAGCTAGGCGACCTGCTACCTAAATTGTGTAGATGTGTCCAATAGATAAGATCCGCGTTTTAGGGCATTACAGCCTGCAACGAGTGTGGCTTCCGGAGGTCTTCAGTTTTTGGAACGTTCAGAAGCAGAGGCCCAAAAACTCCCAGCACACGCGAGTGAACATCGTCGTCCCACTTCGGGGAGTGCGATCGCTCCGACCTGCGCGGGCTTTGGATTGTTATTGTGAGGCTGGCCGGGGTCCACGGGAAGGCCCAGATCGATCGGATTGGACCCGCAGGAGAGGAATCGGGAGGCGAGTACTACATTGGACACAAAAAGCACGGTGACAGAAAATATCAATCCCCCCAACTTAATGGGTATTTCATCAGAGTTTTATGGACATTAAACATGTTGACGTGGCACCGTATTGATGAAGAGAGATGATAAAAATTTCATTAAAGTAGAGAGACTTTTATAGGGATGAAACTCTTTTGCACTGTTTCTAAAATATACATGTGTTGAAAACTGGGACGGTAACATTTGATCGGTGCAAGCCGTCATTTCTCTAGATTTTGATCGGTCTTCGAGCGGTCTCATTTGGGAACTAAAGAATCCATTGGCCAGTAACTTCGTTGCTTTTGATGTAGTCCATAATCCTCGTACTGCCCACAGTTTAGCTGCCCTTGGGGTGAGTTTGAGTTAGGGTACTGATCCAGTGTTGGATAGTATTCCGTTTTGTATTTGGTCGTTTGTAGCCGAAGATTTGGCATTGGTTTACGAGTAATGGAGATATCTTCCATGTTCATTTTTTTTTTGATGAAACGAGTAGTCCACCTTGCCTACTGTTTGAAAATCATTACTATACCTTTTTTTTAAAACAAATTACTATACCTTTTATCGTTAGCGCAGTGGATACTGGATAATTTGCCAGCTTGCGCATTGCCCAATCAGCATGGCTCCATGGCTACACATGCTACAGCACCGTCCAAGAAATTTTCTGAGATAATGAAAACAGTTCCGGCTTCATCCACATTTAAGGAGATGAATCAGTCCACGTCTAGGATTCGGTCCTAAATGTCCAAATTTCGGTAAAATCCACCCATTTTCGGTGATGCCTGAAACAACATCATACTGGTAAAATATTTCAGTGAAATTCAAATCTTTAGTCAAGTATAGAGCTCAAACAACAAACCTACAAGTTCTTCCTTCAATATATAGAAGGTGAAATTACCAAGCTATAATTTCTCTTGACCAAATTTTGGCCAAAACTCAGCCAAATATTAGCTAAACCTGAACATTTAGATCGGTCAAAACAAGAATCTCGATCCAAAATTATCGAAATTTCCAAGATCACCCATTTCAGTGAGATCCGATTTTTTTTCATTTGAATCGTAGAACCCTGCCAGTAGCTAACGCTCATCAATAGTCAAGCATAAGGAAAAGAGGCACAAGAAATTGTTGTACATCGTCGACCAATTCGATAAATAAAGGGCCACCAAGAAGTTGGCACGTGATGTTTCAGTTCTTCACTTCGTATCTCGTTTCTAAAGTAATCAGCTAGTAAATTCATACTAGGTAGTAGATAGTAGTAGTGGATGCTAATTCGTTCATAGGTACACCGGTTTATGAGAATTGCACAGAATCAGATTCAGGTGAATATGAAGCATGGGCACTAATTTGGTTTTTGTTTCTTCAAATCTGAACAGCTGCAATGTGTGGAAAGAATTTATTTTCCATAATGTAACGGCAAACACTGGTAGTGGCAAACGAAACTGTTCCTTAAGGTCAACAAATGCAAATCATGATTCATGAATAGCCGTGCTGGACTAGAAGCCCTGGCCTTCTGGGCGGTGCAACAAACTATGCATTATGAGGGCGGCAAGTGAGGTTCAGAGAACATGCCTGAGCCTGAGGACCGGAGCGAGTCCAGAATAAGTTTGAGATCGCCTTGTTCGTTCAAGAAGCACGACACGCATGTTATTCTGACTTCGGCGCATTGTATATACGAATGGTAGGTCTAGGTCAGATCCTACCGCATGTGCGGGTTTACTGGTGATTGGCGGCAATATCTTTATCCAAATCAGCGTGATCGGTGGCGATAAGAAATGCTTAGGGTGCAGCAATGCACGACTTTTGCAAATGATGCTCTTACATGTGCTGAGGAATTCAGTAGAGCAACAACGCCTCCCAATAATTCTTCAACAGACGATCGACCAGTTCAACTCAAGGATCCATTCAGCGTAGAGCAACTGTTATATGTGCATTATACTCTTTTTAAGTTTTCATTCATTCCAAAATCATGCAGGAACAGATGACATAATTCGAGATGTCAATGGGACCCGATCTCGCTGGACCCGATCCCCATGCACGAAACTGACGGACTGGATCTCACGGTACCTCACCCTCTTCTCCGTTTTGCAGAGATCCTCCATCCCCGTCTTCTGTATAGATGGATTTTGCGGGGGCGGGAACCCTCATGGGATAAAATCTTCCGGGATGAGGAGTGAGAACTTCTCCCGTTGGTATTCACGGGGATGGGGATGGGGAAATTTTTGCCCCACGGGGACGGGATGGGAAGCTGTCCCCCGACAGGGAATTCCCCCTTCACATCTTAAGACATAATGCAGAGAACCAGATTGGCATACTTGCAGAGCGGTGTATGTATAGACGGAGATGCACATGCGCTTCTTCCTAAGACGAAGCTACCCAATGACCTTGTTCGGCAGGACTTATTACTGTTGCGGCTGATTTGTAGGTCTGATTTGTTGTGAGAAAAAAAATAATGTTCCCATGGCTGAAAAGTAGGTCTGATTTTGACCGATAAACTCAAGCGAACAGGGCCATTAAACCAACAGCAACACACAGAGATTCGAGAAGGCGGAAGGAAACATACTGACAGTCTAACACGGTGTCAGAATGACACACTGGACCAAGGTGAATCGGAAGCCATCGGCAGCTTCTCATCTTCAAACCATACTTGTTTCGCTCAAATGAGCAGCGGAAGAAGTACAGCGCCGCCTGAAGATAAGTTTACAATTCCTTATCTCCTGGTCTGACGATCACCAAACATGCTTTGCGACAGTAAATAAAAAAGAAGTGTTAACTTGCTTCAGGGAAGTACAGAGTCATGCTATTAGCTCGTCCGGCAACTCCACGAACCGTGCCTTTTTCTGAAACATCAAAATGGAACCTGAATTAGCAATGAGCGGAAAAATATACTACAAGGCAGTGTCATTTGCAGGCAGGCGTAACAACCATCAACTTCATTTAGATTACACCAAGCTCAAGATATTCAGCTATTGTAGCAAAAACATGACAAAGCAACTTCGTATTCTTTGTACAATTGTACAATCACTGTTCGTCTAAACGGTGGTTTTACATACCGTTTAAACGCTACACTAGTACGCCGTTTCCATTACAACGGCAGTTTAGCCTGTTTAAACAGCCGTTTTGTTTAAACAGCCGTTTTGCCTGTTTAAGTGGCTGTTTAGAATAACACTGATTGTATCCTACTTTTGTCAAAACCCACTCTAGAAGTCTATCATGTTCCTGCATCTAGCGCACTTGTGTGTTCGTTGTTCCCCGCAATGAGCGGAGAAGAGCAGTTTCGCGTCCACTTTGCTACACAAGCTAGCTTAGTGCCCCACTGAGACAGGCTACATGTTCTCTGCAACGACAAGGAAACTGCATCTAAAATGCAAAGATGCCATTTAAACCTCGTTCGTGCTAGCGCGAGCGTTCACACTA